TAAATACAGCTCGTGCATCGCACGGGTTACATACTAGTTATATATAAAATGGATATTAGCTTATATGTGGGCAAAATTTAATTTTTTTATCGCTTTACTGATATGTTATATAAATAGATCTTTTATTAAAAACATCAAAAAATGTACACTAATCACAAACGGCAGAATAAAAGATTTTGTTTCATGTCCGACCTACTTTTTGTGTCGTCTGGCATTCGTTTCAGGTATGTGACCTACCACTGAATTCTTCTCGTCGAGAAAATCAATTCAACTCCAATCATATAGGTTGCGATTTGTTTAACTTACCAAATAAATCATACAATTAATGCACAATAGGTTTGGTGTTAGCTCACATTATGAAATAGTATGTATATGTTTAACTTACCAAATAAATCATACAATTAATGCACAATGGGTTTGGTGTTAGCTCACATTATGAAATAGTATGAAATAGTATGTATACATACGTATACAATAAAATGCCATTATTTTAAAAATAATTCAACATAAAATAATTATCTAATTATTCTTCAAAAGTATGATGCTTCAAAATGAAATTTTATCATCTTCGAAAAATATCGACTATCGATCAAAATCGAATCGTCTAACAGATTTTGACTCGTTCACCCGAACCAAGTAGGTTTAGTTTGTGTCTTGGTTATGTATTTAAGGTATCATACAATTAGCATACATGCCTGAATTTAAGAACCCTAGTCCATGATACATATAAGCTAATCAAAGTGTCAAACATTTGAAAATACTGCATTAATTATCAGAATTAATGCAGTTTAAGGTCAACTATCAAGAATCCACTTAGAACTACATAAATTATTATTCACCAATTTCTTACATGCTAACTTCAGATACAACAGATCGCAAATATTATTTCCTTCGCAAAACGACTAAGCATTAGACGAGTCGACATGTAAAACTCTATTGTAACAAATCTATATATATATATACTCATCAAAAGTCAAACTTCTTCTTTATATTATCTTTTTAATATATTATTTTCCAATAAAGTACGCATATTTGTAGAACGAAAAAGAAAAATATCGACAAGATGATTAGGGCCGCTTAACATACAAAATTTCTATGGAGCCATGAGATAATTTTCTTATGGACCCATCTATCACTTAATGTATTGACACCGGTCTAAAATGCATTTAATGTAGGATACGTTTCAATACACTATTCGTGAGTAACTTTGAATGGCTCCATAAGTCAAGCCATCCGATGGCTCCATAGCAAAACTGGCTTAAAATAATACCTAAGCAGTGAATATAACAAAATTTAGTCTCCTAATAATATTTTCCATATATATACTAATATAAATCCATTTGCTATCAACAAGCCATGTTCAGTCAAACAAACAGTGATAACATCATCTGTTGATAAATCCATATACAATAGACATAAACTGAAACTGAAGCTGAAGCTATCTATCCAAGCAGCAGCTGAGTTCAAAACAAAATTCAATCAAAACATGAAATGCAAAATATATTTATTTATCCTGCTGAAAGCAACAAAAACCCGGTTCGAACGAACAGACGATCATTTAGGTCACAAACAGGAATTTCAAATCAGCCTCGGTCAGTTTCGATAGAGCCTCCGAAGATCCACCCACAGTCCTGCAGTAAAATAGCCACAGTTGAAAAACGAAACAAAGGCACATAAGATGAAATGGTTGAGAAAAAATAAAATAAAATAAAATAAACGTGTTTTTCAGTGTTCGCCTTTTTTTTTTTTTTGTGGCAATTAAGATAGGTAACAACTAACACAAAATGACTAGCAAAAGAATTCAAACTTACCCTTCAAACATTAGTTCCTTCTTCTCCTGTAACTTCAGTATCCTCTCCTCCACAGTATTTTCAATAATAAACCGGATAATCCTAAAAAAAAAACAGAAGACATAAACATATATAGAAAAATAACGAAAACAGTAACAGAATACTCACTTTAATCGTATTACGACCAAAAAAAGCTCTAAGGAAAGCGCAAAAATCATTAAACCTACCGGATTGGTTTATATTGACCTATTCGGTGAATTCTATCCTGAGCCTGCCTCTCGACAGCTGGGTTCCACCAAGGATCCATCAAGAAAACCTACCGAACATCCAGTATGTTAAAAAAAATAATAATGAAATAAAAAAAAATGTATCATTCTCAAGCAGAATGATTGAATAACATCCAGTATGTTAAAAAAAATAATAATGAAATAAAAAAAAAATGTATCATTCTCAAGCAGAATGATTGAATAATCATTTAATCAACTCAAGATATAACACAGAAAAAACCTTACATGTGATGCGACTGTAAGATTGAGGGCCACGCCTCCGGCTTTCAAGCTCATTAGGAAGATTTTGCAATTCGGGTCCGCGGAGAATCTTTTAATTGCAGTATCTCGGGCACCCATGGACATGGACCCATCTAGTTGAACACAGTTCACTCCAGACTGAAAAGCGAGAGAAAGTAATAACTTAGGATTTGCATGCAAATAAGTTAATTTAATACAAAAAAATGCAAAAAAAAAAAGGTTCATGCATGGCTTACCTTTTGAAGCGAGTAGTGTATGAGATCCAGAAAAGAAGAGAATTGACTAAAGACGATTCCCTTAGCAGAACCATCCCTTTCAATCATGAACCTGATTTCTTCCCTCTGTAATAAACATATAAATAAAGAAAAGCATAAAAAAGGTAAGCCATTTTATCAATTAAAAAAAAAAAAATTGAAAAACCAAGATTAAAAGAAAATGCAGTTACTCATTTTTCTTTTTTTCATTTTCATTTTTTTTTTTCTCTCTCACTATAAGGAACAGTGGTACTCTGAGCATAATTTACCAAAGCATCTATTTTTGTGCTTGTCTGAAACTCATCGAGCTGAATTCTATTCAAAATACTTGCTCGCCTGAAGCCTTTGACAGTTGTTTTCGAACCCTGCTCCACACCATCTTTATTGGAAGTGAAATCAACAGTAAGTGGCTTTGAACAAGAAGGGCAAGAGTTTTGGCCCATACTAGCACCAAAATCAATCAAACAAGGTTTGCAGAAGACATGTCCACATGAAGTGACCTAAATGTGACAATTCATAATCAGAAAAGTATCAAATACTGAAACAAGAAAAAAAAAAATCAAACGAGAAATAAACCATGTGTAAAAGAAGAAACAAAAGATCCCACAATCCATGGAATTATGCAAATCGCTTTATATTACTCAACAAGCATCTTAAACCTCAATTAATTAATGAAATCTTGCTTGAATGGAAAATGAGCTACAATAACAAATAAAATCAGAAAATAGAAGAAACTGCAGAATCTTATCACGATACATCAACACAAATGGCCATAATCATTTGCAGCATAAATCGTACCTCAAATGCATAAAACAAGTTTCACTTAACAGACTTCAGTAATGATACATATGTACCCTATACTTGAAAAACAACCATGCAATGACTTCATACAAATAGAAAGGCAATGCAAAAAGTATCATCTTTGACATTTCATGCAATGAGACTATATGTACCTTCACTAATAAATGATCACTAAGCATGTTTGTTTACAAGATTTTTCAAAAAAAATTTCTAACATTTTAACTCAACCACTTTTTTTAACTCAATTTTAACTCAACCCCACTATCATCAATATTATTAATATAATTAAATAATATCAATCAATCATTCATACACACAACATCAACCTTAATTCACTATTCATCCACTCACAATATTTTAACTAACCATCACTTCAAATCATCTCTCTCTTACTTTTACATCAATCCATTTTAATTATTTTATTTTAAATATTATTTTAATCTACCCACTAACAACTAACCATACCACCTTTTTCAAAACTAACCAAACCAAACATAAAAAATCCAAACAAAACAAAAAATTTCCATAAACAAACATGCTCTAAAGTACTAAACAAAACAACACTTCAGACAGAAGACTTGTGAAAGATTGGGGTAAAAAAACAGTTACAAATAAATGCAAATTTGTAAAGTATCTAAACTCCTAAGTAAAAGATGTAACAGTTCCAAATGAAACTATGTCGCATAATATAAAACAAGACTTCATACCCGCAAAGTATTTAGTGAAATTTTTTAAGTGAATTACAATTTCTAAGAAGAATGCAAAATTAACACTTGAGTCGTATTCAAACTCACCACAGTTTCTTCTCCGGGGTCATTACATAAACCGCATATCTCATCATTGCTACTTTCAACTGCTTTACCCTTTCTTTCCATTGCAGTAACAGAATACTCCACAAGGTAAGGATGATCAACAGCCTGAAATGACAACGAAGATGATAACTAGGGACTGTCCTTTGAGAAATGTAATACACGAACATTTCTATAACGAATCATCTTCTTGATTCATATGAATCATCTGAAGAAACTGGGAAGAAAATCAACAGCTTTCAACACTTTAAACTGAAGCAAGTTGTTAAAGGGACATTATTATTATACACACACTGGGAAGATATTTAAATGCTAAAATATGATGATAAAAAACTAAAAGAAACTGGATATAGCTTGTATAAACTTTGAAAGCAGATACACGTCATAGCAACGAATATATAAAGAAAAAGCAACAAGATATCTCAGAACCTGACGAAGGCGAGTTAGCAGATCAAATATGTGGGCATAGTTATTCAATACTGTTCCTGCCTCAACATATCTGTAGATATAGAAAATCATGAAGTAAGAACAAATTGGAATAGGGAAACTCTATAAGAGAAGCTCTAGCAAAAGACAAATGTCCAAATGAACAGTTTCCCAAAGATAGTTCACAATGAAATATGGACAAAACCCCAGCTCGGTCATTAAGTATATGAGATTTAAGGAGATTCAGATTACATACGTGTTGAACTGTGCCTGACTGTCATTATACAGTGCAGTATAATAATCTTCTTCAATGACATCCAGCGAATCTCGCCTTAAAGTGACCTGAACTTTGAAGTATCGTATTTATGGTAAAACGCTAGAACATACTAATTGTTCATATTTGCATAGGTTAACAAGAAAACATACAATCCTAGGCGGAAGCGCGAGATCAGCAGCCCTGCCCTTTTTGGTACGTCTTAACACAATGCTTTTAAGAATTTTGTGCTTCAACAAAAGCATGGCCTCTCTGCCACAACCCTTATTTCCAGAATCTTGTATTGGTGAAGAAATATACTGAAAGAATCAACAAACAAAGGTCAACTTTATAAGTAAATACAGAAGCATTGTCTAAGATGGAGAAGTTCTACTAATACTGGTAGAGTTACTTACTCTATTCCACCAGCAGAAATGTCGGACATTTTTATGAACACAGCCTGGACAATCTGCCGAACTGCATTATATACAATGTTCAAATATTTCCACAGCTGAACGGAATTGAAATCCAAACTCAAAGCAAATGGGAACTTGGGAAGAGAGAGAAGAATAGAAAAGTAGATGACTCTTCTAAAATCCTTTTCATAGATGTTTATGCGATTTAATAATCAATTGCTCAACTGGACAGCAAATTTACTAAATTATATTAACAGGTAACTAATGAGTAGTGATATGGATACAAGATAACAGAAAGAGGTTCTATGATTAAATATTAAACACTATATTTATCAAAGCGTCGAGAGTGCAAAATAGACATGTTATATTTAATTCCTCTTCCAACTCAAATCGTCAAAAGCAAGATGTAATGTTTTACATGATTAGATGTTCACTAATCAACAAGATTAACACACACACATTCCAAATCAACAAGAAAAGTAAAAGAAATGATGTTAATTTTGTTCGGAATAATGTGCCTAGCCATATTAACACACACACACACACAGACATCACATATATATATATATATATATTTCCAGAAACCAAATCATCAGATTTTATGCACATATATGTGCCATGTCTTATTTCTTAAATTTCATTTTCACCACCACCCTTCAGCTTCAGGCATGAATATGGGCGAAAATGACAAAGGAATTGAAGTTAAGCGGAAGGACAGGCACAATGTAATGTTCAAGCTTACCTATAGTCAAGTTGGCGACAATCACAGTCCTTGCAGAAATAATAAGAGTAAGGAACTATCTGCAGAAAGCGAACCTGCGCAAAGTACAATGATACCTTTTCGTTAGGCAGAACCAAAAAACACAGAGCGCGATAAGCATCTTCAAAAACTTACAAGAGAATAGAGCTCTCCCACACGATTCTGAAGGGGAGTACCACTTAGAGCCCATTTATAAGAAGACTGTAAGTTAAGAATAGCTCTGGTTGTGTTGCAGCGCCTGTCTTTTATATAATGTGCCTGTGAGAGAAAATAAAGCCCCCAACGGAGTCAAATATGTCATATGCCAGAAGGATGAAGAAAGAAGTAAAAACGAAAGTAATTTCTTTCTATATCCAGATGTTGCAAAAACACTATCACGTTTTTATTATATATAGCATGCAAACATCAAAGACACGATGTTCTTAATAAATAAATAAATAAAGAATCCTCTCTCCAGAAATGGAAAAAATAATACATACTGCAAAATCAGGGAGCAATATCTAATACCAACCAAAAGAGCGTAACATAAGGAAAGTTTTAACAATCTCAAAGAAAATGGACTTACACAGAATAAGACTCTTCCAAAATTATGCATAAAGAAAAGTCAAACTACATAATCCTTACCTCATCCAATACGATACGCTCCCAGCTCACGGAGTGCAAAATCGACTTTCCGGCATGTGAAACCTCTTCCGGATAGTCATTCTCCATTTCCTTCTCTACACCGACATGCTTCTTTCCTTTACCACGACCTCCTTTCTTCTTACTTCCCTCAGATTCCGCCATCTTTTTAGTCTTTGGATTTTTTCTCTCTTGTTTTGCCTGCTTCGCTGTCTTAATAGCAAAAGGCCCACACATATACTTCAAGTGAATTTTCAACTTATTCTCATAGAATAATTTCCCACAGTAAGTGCATTTCTCCTTGGGGGGCATCACATATTTCCTGTATTCTGCCTCGACAATCGAATATGTTGTTATGACAAAGTCATAGTCAGCAAACTCATAATGCTTTTTCGCCCGGTTAGCACCATGGTAGACAAGAACCTTGGTGCTTCCTTTCGAAGTGAATTTATCAATCTCGCTAACCCACTGCATGACAGCAACCAATGGGCATACGACAAGTGTCCCTTTAATAGCCGGTAGCTCTTTTGAAGAACTCGGGGTCGTTGTGTGTAAATGCTGCCCACCGAGGTCCCTTGGGATATTTCGTTTGAGAAGAACAAGAGCTATTGCCTGAAGGGTCTTGCCCATTCCCATCTCATCCGCAAGAATACCTCCCTTGACAACAGATTCCTCTTGCTTAAGAGCCCAAGCTAACCACTCCTTTTGGTATCTGAGCAATGGTATTATCAAGTCCTCAGAAGGCTCGGCACTTTCTGTCACCATTTCATTCTGATTTATCAAGTCCATGTCAAGCATCAGATTCTCAGCAACCCATCTTTCGATCTCCTCTTCTAAAACTTCCCACATTAGTATGGGTTTATCATTTTTCTTCTTCTTGTTCTTCCTTTTCCCACGAGTTTTCTCTGTTGCCCCACCCAAATCAAATCCTAGAAATTCTTGGTACAATTCTGCCTCAATATTGTCATTCATCGCTATGTCTTGGTAGAATATAACATTCTCACTCGATCCTTCCCTGTTCTTAGAGGTGTTCCTTTTCCTCTTTTTTGAGACATACTGAAGTTCATCATCGCTCCATTCAGATGCAGTATCTAAAGGAAAATTTAAGTCCAGAGCATCTTCCCCAGTAGGGTCTTCAAGCACATTCGGAAAACCTTCACCTAGATTCACAAGATGAACAGTGACCATCCCGCGTAAAAAAAGGATCAGATGTAATCCTCAGTTATTCATATCTAATGCACTAACAATTTACGAATCTGTAACTAAAACTCACACTATTTTAGGGGACATCCACCAAATATTCAACTAACACAAGAAAATTCGTTTTCAAACTCAGTGAAGTTAAGCAAACAGTTACTATTCATCCAACGGACAATGAAAAAATAAGACCAAGCATTGGGAATATATATAAAGAAAATAGCCTTCATATTTCGTCCCCAAACTTTTTCCTTAATATTCACTTTCATTTTCCTGTCTCCATTTATATGTTTTCACAACTTCACTTGAATTTTGGGTGCCTTTCTTCAGTAATAAGCCCTCATCACGAATAAACATTGTCTGAATGAGAAAGTTATCACATGACAAATACAAAAGATACATTTGCAAAAATGACACCTTTTCACTCTCATTGCTAAAGTGCCACTATTGGTCACATTAAGAGTCATTTTCTGTCATGTAAAGAGTCATTCTCAGTCGTTGTTTTGGTGGTAATAGACATGAGTGTTATTTCTATAAACGCAACGACAAAAGGTGATATTTTGGTAATTTCTCAATTGAAAACCCTTCAAAATAATCGGTCGATATTTGAAGAAAATAGACAAAAGTGACATATTTTGCAAACGCGACGACAAAAGGTGAAATTTTGGCAACTCTCAATTTAAAACACTTCAAAATAATCGGTCAAGACAAAAGTGGTGTTTTTGCAAATGCGACGACAAAAGGTGCATTTTGGTAATTCTCAAACGAAGAAAACTTTTCAAACTAATAGTTTTCACATGGTCATAATGTCATTAATCTAACGAAATTTCACATTACGTAAACATAATAACACAACATCACCCACTTTTGGTGGTTAATTTTGGTAACTTTTTTTGTGGTAACAAACAAAACTATTAGTTTAAATTGAAAACGACCGAATCTAACACAAAGGCAAAGGATGACATCTTGGCAAATTTTCAACTGAAAACTATTTAAACAATAGGTTTAAAACTTTAAATGGTCCCAATGTTATTAATGTATTAAAGTTTTACAGTAAGTAAACATAATAACACAACAACACCCACTCGTGCTCATACAAATAGACGGATTCGGTCGTTTTTTTGGTGGTAACAAACAAAATTGGTATTTTCATAGACACGGCAGCAAAAGATGACAATTTGTAAATTTTTAAACCGAAAACTATTCAAAACAATAGGATCACATGGTGACAATGTCATTAATTAATCAACTTTTTACAGTAAGTAAACATGATAGCACAACAAAACCCACATTGCATACATAAATCTGACATCCACAACAAACAAACTACAAGACTCCATTCTCAAGATTTCAAATACCAAGACTCAAGATCGCAATGAATCCTCACACAAACATCTAGCAACCGAATCAAAAGGCACACACATGCACGGACATTACCTTCATCACTCGTCGCATTATAATCAGAATCAGACAACATCGCCCCAAGATCATCCTCAACAGAACTCTCCGGGTACTGGACCTTCTCTTTACCTACTCGATCACACATTTAAAGCCCGTCACAGTTAAAAGGAACAAGAAAGACGAAAACCCAGTTCGATATACCCAAATCCACGCACAAAACACGCACACACACACACACACACACATGCCCTCAAACAAACGAGTTAAAGGCAAAAAGAACACACCTTTCGAAGAGGAAGAACCTGGGGTACGAGGACGGAGCTTCATCGTTCGATTCAAAAGCCGGGCAAAGGGCAGAGGGAAAATACACAGAAACCCTTTAGGGTTTCAAGAATTTAGAGCTCTGTTTGGATGAAACCCCAGCAATCGTGGCTGTTGGGGGTGTGTATTGGCTTGTTTTCTCAGTGTGAATGGAGAGGCAAGTGACAAAGGAGGTGACCATAAAAGCGGGTGCGAGTAAGGTGTGTTAATGGAGGCTGAGTGAGAAATTTCGCGGCGGGAATGGTTTTTCTACTGTTGGCTTTTATAAAGGTCCCAAAAGCTTGCTTTGGACTCTTGCCAATGCCTAAAAAATATTATTTTTTTATCTTATGATGATTTTTATAATATGATACTAATGCATAAATTTTGAAAAACAGTAATTATTCAATTATTATGTTTATCTAATAACAACAAGTGAAATATAAAGGCTAGGTACGTAATATTGCACAAATAAATTAGGTTGGATCATAGCAATCCCATTTTCATAATATTTTCTTTGTGGAAAAGAGATGTGATTTTTCATCACTTTTTTCTAATTATATATTAGCAATTTTTTGTTTATTAGTACAATTCTCGTGAACTACACTGGTGTTTGAGGAAAAAAAATAATTATGCAATAACTAATAATTAAAGAAATAAAATTCTTGAAGTAATTAATAATAGAATATAATATTTTTTAAATTATTTTAAGTTATAGAAAATATTTTGTATGAAATATTATTTATTTTATTTAGTATATATTCTTTTTTTTCAAAATAAATATAATAATTAATTTATTATGCAGTCAATATAATACTCTTGAACAACCATGATGCATTAAACAAAATATTTGTATAAAAAAAATAAGTAAATAAATTTATATTCTTATTATATATTAAAAACATTAAGTATAAACTAATAATAAAAAATAAAAAATTTAATGATTTAAAATATTACCTATATTTTAAACTCAATTTGTTAAAAAAAAAATATTTTTTTAATATAACACACACACGCACACACACACACACACATACACACACACACATATATATATATATATATATATATATATATATATATTATACAACTCAATAATTTTATTTTGAATTACTTAATTTTTTCAAGTTTAATTAATATTATATATACACAATTTTCTTCCCTCCTCTATTATATTATTAAATATCTTCAACTTTATAATATTCAGTAATTTTAAAAAATATGTATGGGTGTAATATTTTTAAATTTTGTGAAATGTTATAATTAACTATATTATTTTTAATTATATTTTTTTTTTTATTTCTAATATAATTAAAACACTCAGTCTATTTGTAGTCTTTATTTAAAATCAAACATAAATTTTAAAATAATTTTTTTTATATTTATTTTATGTTCATATTTAGTTTATATTTTTTTCAATTAAAATAAATATTTTATGATATGTTAATATAAATCAATTAGTACGTAACTCGTGCGATACACGGGGCAATAATTATAAATTGCATGTATTAAAGCAATGAAGGAATATTAATTAGTATAAAAAATTTGAATACTTATTTTATCTTCTTATTTTATTTTATGATGTATAATAATTAAACATATAAGTTATATATTTATTTCACCCGTTATAAAATATTTGTCATAAAATATTTGTCATTTTTAGATCAGTTCATGTTTATAATTAAAAATACTGAAAATTTAACATATTCAAATATTATCAATAAATAATACGCACAAAAATTATTTCTTTATCTATCTTCATTTACTCATATATTATTACAATATAATATTTCGAGTTCTAACTTAGTATGCGAAAGTTGAAAAGTTGTTACAAATATTATAACTAATACTTAATTGAAAAAGGCTATTATATATGTTGTTTTGAAGTTAAAAAGTCATGAATTTTTTATTACAACAATATTATTTTATTTTTCGAATAATTTATGCAATGTATATTATAAATTTCTTAAATTTTCTTTCTAATCTAATAGTTTATATGAGATTTTTTATTATATTATAAATTGCAATATGAATTTTTAAAAATCTGGTACGGTGCAGTTATTGATAAAATCAAATGAAGTTGAACTCATCGAATTGATGATTTTTAGTATATGAATCGTTACCAACTCAATAGAAAATTAGATGGATTTGTTGTTAATATTGAGATATCAAATGTATTTTAGTATTGTGGTAGTTACATCAATAAGATTTTTGCATTTGATTTCTAAATTTAGTTTGGATTGATATTTTGCAATGTTATCACACATGAGTATTTCGGTCTACATATGTTTATATTTCCCACAAAATAGGAGAACTCATGATTTGTTGTTAAAGATAAATATTAGTTCATTATTAAAGATAAATATAGTTAAATTTATTTTAATATTGTAGAAAATTACTTTTACAGTTTTTGAAAAACTAAATCAGTTGAGTTATTGATAAATCAAATGATTCTAACGTAATTATATTGATTAAATGATTTTTGAATATACAATAAAAAATATTTTGGTATATGTTGGTTACCAAATGAATAAGAAATCATCGTGATTTGTTATTAATGTTGATAATAAGAATTTATTGTAACCTTTTGATAAATATCATAGTAAGACTACTGTAATTGATTTTTAATTTTATTTTGGAACTAAATTTGTAATTTTAGCATTCATATTCAAATATTATTTTTTGAAACAAAATTTATTTAATATATATATTAAGAAATGTTGTATGGTTGGTTACCAAAGAATAAGAAAATGTAATGATTCGTAATTGATATGAAGAATCGGATTTTTATTGCAATAATTATCAAAATATAATTTTAAAATTGATATAACTTTATTTATAAAGAAACTCGTGCTATTTACCGAATTGCACGATTTACAACATGTAGTTATAATTTGATTTTTATTTTTCATAAATATTAATTAATTTTCACTATATTTCCTTTAATGGCAAGTCAATTTATTTAATTACAAAGTATAAGTTATTATTTTAGATTATTTTATCAACCTATTTCAATACATATAGATTCCTATTGCTTCATAAGATAATTTGTAGTTTTCTTTCTTTCTTTATTTTCTCTTATATTTATAATTTAGTTTGATAATTAACCAATGTATAATTTATTTATCAAGATATATATTATTTTGTGTTTGTAATTTATATATATAATATGGATATCAAATTGAACATCGTTAAAATATAATTAATTTGATATATCATATATAAATAATAAAATACAAAAACAAAAGTGCCTTCAAATAATTCTTTTGTAGCTGAGATTGTTGGTTGTCCTTCCCATTTCTAAGCTCAACCGGGGAAAGGGTGGTCAACGGTCTTGGCTTACGAGTTGAGAGTGTGAATTTAACATTGTAAAATTTAGACTATACTAGTCATTTTACATCTCACTCATTGGAGTTGTTTATAATTGAAGGCGAATAATTAACATATGAAACGAATATAACAATATTTCACCCTTTCAAAAATAAAAATAAAAATAAAAATAAAAAAATCAAGAGTTTGACAAGCATGTGCCCAATATATGAGAGAATTGTACCATTTCAGGTTCACCCTGACGAACACAACTCTACCACGATACCACTGTTGTTTTATTTTTGCTCATCTTTAACTTGAGGTACTTTTTTTTTTTTTTTTCTTTCAAGTAAAGTTACTTAAACAATAACCACAATAATAATAATAATAATAATAATAATAATAATAATAATAATAATAATAATAATAATAATAATAATAATAAACCCGGAACCGGAAAAAGGGTGGCGGGTTGTTAAACCGACGGTTCATGGTACCACCTTTCCGGAAAGGGTCGGGTCGTGAACCGGCCCGCCTTTGGCCACGTATAGTGAGAATGTAACTGTGTCTTCCCCCACAATCTGTTACACATAGTTGGGCCTTCTTACTTCTACCATAAAAAGGCTGCAACTAATCTTGCTAAAATCGGCCGAAGCCCAATTAAGATATCAAATTGCCCAACCCATTTTCGGTGGTCACCACTCACCCTCACCCGTTTCACATCACTCTTCCCATTTCAAAACAAAGTCTCGTCCCGGCCAAAGGTACCTCCGATCACATTTCCGTCTTCTTCTTCCGTTCTTTTTTCATTAAGCTTCGCCGTCTACTCGATTAATGGTAACTTCTCCGTCTACTTGATTGTACACAAACCTTCATTCAGAATGTCTAACCCCAAAGATTTCAAGTTCACCTTGAAAGCCATTATTAACAAGCAAAAGACCAAGGTTCTTTATGTGGAGGCCGATAGCGATTTTGCAGATGTTTTGTTGAGCTTCCTGACGTTGCCATTGGGGACTATCGTCCGAGTCTTGAACAAACACTATGGTGATGAGGCCCCTGTTGTAGGAAGCTTAACCACTTTGTACAACGGCTTGCGCGATTTGGACAGTGGCCTCTTCCCGTCGGAGGACTGTAAGAACCTGCTGCTCAACCCGATAAGGTCGTCCGAGTTCGAATGTCGTCGGCTGAAAATCAACGTTGACGACACGCCGCCCACAAGGTACTTCAGAT